ACTGGCGTTTTTAGTATGCTGAAGAGCCAGACTAGCTTGATTTCATCATCATAGGAGTATCAACAATCCATTCCTTACCGGCGCATGATTACCATTAGCACCATAGTGTTTTTACTGAAGCCTTTTTGCCTCGGTCTTTATAAAAAGTGACTTCTGATCGAGCAGCTGATTTTTGTCGTTTTTTATTGAGCTGAACATAAAGAAAAAGATTTATAGTTTCACTGGATACGACGACATTTCCAATCCGATTACAAGACGGTGTGCTACTCAGTGAACTTCCTCCTCCGCCTGCTCATCCCACTGCTCCTGATGAAGTTAGTTTTTTTCTTTCTTTTTCATTTCTCTATATTTGTCAGTTTTATTTTAAAAAAAAAAAGGGTATATTTACCAGTACTTCGTTTTTCCCAGTGGTTTGCTTTTAAAATAGTCCTCGGACTGGGGTTCCGTTGACAGTCCTGGTAGTGGTTAGGTTCTCTTGACATTTCCTTCCACCCGGGTTGTTTCTAAGTGTCGCGGTGGATGGGTTTTTGAATTTTGACATTCGCGCACTATTTTCCTAAATGATTTTGTTAGTACCACCAGTCGGCAGGTATGCGTTTTATAGGAATTTGACATTACAGTGAACACAGAAAGGCCGCTTATGCAGTAAATCCTTATATTATGAGGTCATTTGTATGTTGCTCGAACCTTACGTCGCAGTGCTTCTCGAAATCATAATCCTCTTCGTATTCGCTCTCTGTTGGAACCAAAATTGCTCAGAAATATTTCGAGTTCTACTTTTTACAGTAGCAACCATCCGCTGGCAGTGTTTTTATGATTTCCTCGTTCAAGGGTTGCTTAAAAGCAAGCTGATGGAATTTCAACTTTAGTGTGATTCAAAATTCAGCGCAGAGTAATAGGTCGTGATAGCTGAGCTTACATAAAATGCTTGTCATTAATCATCCGCTTTGTTGTGCTTAATGTTTTTGTATTTGTGGAAAACAGATGAGGATTTTTTTGGCTTTTTTTAAAAATGCATGGCCTTTTTGAAGATTCGAAAAGCTATCCGTGCAAAAATGGTGCGATGTAAAATATGCAAGAACAGATTCATTGAAAAGAATTTGTATGAGCGACATTTGCGGGATAAACATCACACCGAATATTTGGCGTATTTAATACAGCAAGAAGAGGAGATTGCTGAGCAGAGGTTCGAGAATCCTCTTTTTTATTATTTGACAGTCTTTAATTTTCCGAATCTATCATCACGAAAAAAAAAAGTGTTACACGTACCATCATCCAGCACTGTTTCGTTTAAGACAGGCTGAGCTCGAAGCAAATCGAATTGAAGAGCTTGCTACAGGAGGTTATATTCCACCGGAACATGAAATTGATGCCGAATCTTACGAAGTTGAAGTTGAAAAGTGAGTTTTTTTTTTTTTTGTTATTTCGTAATTTTTGTGAAAATAGGAAAATTGTTTATGTTTTGTTCTATGTTCGCCATGCCTTGACTTTGTACTTATTCTGAATTTTTGTTCGGTTGACAAGCAATTGTGAAAAGCCAAAGGCTATTTCTTATTTCTTTAGACAAGAGACAAGGATATTGGGAAGTGACTCCACGCAGCGATTATCAGTTCTAAAATTTGTTGATGTTCTCATTTTATTAAAAAGCAAGTGAAGACATTTTGAGTGACGTTTCGGAACTTGTTTTTTATTGCTGTCATTCAGGATTCCATTGCCGGGTGAATTGAGTGGTGGCATCCCTGCGCGTTTTGACAAGTATGGCTTTTTGCGTCAACCGAAACGTTCTTACAAGAAAAAGGTATCATTATTTGTAGTTTATTTTATACAGTAACTAATACGCTTTAATTGTAAGATATTTACCCTTACTTTATGGATCTGTAGGGTTGTAGGGTTGTTTATGGGTCTTAAAAACTTGAATGAGCTAAAAATTTTTTAAAAATTTTGTTTTCACGAGAAAACTGGCGCAGCACTGGGGACTGTTTGCAGGTTTCGCCGCAATGTCCATTTTGCGACAAACGATTCCGGAACGAGGTTTCACTGAAGAAGCATTTTGTGAAGAAGCATCCTGAAGGCGTGGAATTTGTTCAGTGCTTGCGATGTTTCAAAGCAATTAAAACAAAGGAAGAGTTCCAGCAGCATGAATGCGACCTGGTAAATTTTATTGGTTTTTGTACAGAATTAGAGAAAACGCCAACCAGTTGGTGCTTCACAGTGAAGACAGGCATCTTAGTCCACGAAGACGTATTATAGTTGCTCACCATCATAACGTCGTTGTCTTCCCACACTGGGATTTCGGGCCTGTTCCTGGTTATGTTAAAGTGTTTAGCATCGGATGACA